AAATTCAATGAATGGGTGCATGTAACTAGGCAGCGCTGGATTTCTTTATTACAGCGATAGAAATTGGTATATTGCTGCGTAAAAACGCAGGGTCATTCTGAGACTAAGTCGTTTGTATTGACTGACCACGTGACTATCGAGCTTTTCAGATACAGGACGCAAATGGCTCTAGCTTAAGGTTTTTATTGCTCAGTTTTGTACGACAGTCGGAAGTGTATTAAGCAAATTCACCGGTAATATTTGTGTTCAATCTGAAATAGAGAATGAAGTCCATTGATGAAGGGAAGTCTAATGGCAACTGTCCACGGGCCTTGAAAACCGAATAAGCCAAGATAAAAGCGGCGTGGTGTTTGTCTCCATCAAGTTATAGCCAACAAACGACTGATGTTTTCATCACGACACCGTTTTCAGCAAAGAAATTTCAAAGTTACGCATTTGCACCGCGTTAGAGGGGCTAGGTAGCATCCCAGACCGCTATCAGTGGTTCTGAGAACAATGATAGCAAATAAGGCTTGTATTCTGTGCTCTTTTCTTTTCGCTAATTCATCGTAAGTTTAAATAATACCAGGAATCACGTAAAAAGATATATTCTAGTGGAAAGAAAATAAAAATAAGGGTATGTAGGGTTGAATGAGAGGAAACCGGTCAATTGGGCATGGAAAATATGACGCCAGTGTCAATGTCTTCCAAAGAAAACATAAAGTGGGCCTGAGTAAGACCTCTCCTTCTGCTGACGCATTTGATTACCCAAAAGTAGGTTGAAAATCGTAGGTACAAGGGACCAGCAATTTCGTAATATCTGAGAGGAGCATGTCTTTATCTTTACCGTTGTACTGAATCACTTCACAAGCATATTACGTTATCTCAATGAGTGGTACGTTAGTTTAAATTGACTCGATGTCCAGGGGGAATATAGGGCGTTCATCAACCATAATATCACTAATCTAATCTAGGAACTAAAAAACTGTCACAGACTACGTCACACTTTTCTCCCAATTGTTTGTGACAGACTAAGGAGCAGTTTAGCCAAGATATGGTAGGGGAATCAAATATATAGACATGTCGAGGATGGGCCTGAATGGTAGGTTGGGTTGCAGTATTGACAAAACAGATTAATCTTTCCACAGGTAGGGCAACTACGCTCAAAAGCATTGGTATCGCTGTTTTGGGATTGTTTCGGACGTAATATTTTGGACACTGCCTTTTTAATTGCCTGCATCTTGTCTACCCCGGATCCCATTTTCCTAAATCTGAATTTCGATGAGGAAATGGCATTTATCTTATCAGTGTAATCATATTTATCTATCAAGAAAATTTCTGCATCTTTATCCGGCCTGGATAGCAAAACGTGACCGTTATGCTGTAAGCGTTTCAGGCTTTCGTAATGTTCCTCTGTTAAAAGTCGTTTAGGCCTAGGTTCCTAGCCAAGAAATCAATAACATGAATTGACTGCCTTCGATATCAGTTGTTCTACACTCTGTTCAGAGGAGGGTACTTGCTCGGATAGCTGATCTCAAACTAAGTTTTCATACTCAAGCTGGCTATCTTGCGGCTGCAGTGGCTATTGGATCTCTTGAAACTTCTTCAATTTCTGCTACATTTGAATAGTTTTTTCATGTTTTCGTTTCGAGTGCATTCTGTTCAAAAGACCATGGTTTGGAGGAATGAGTTCATGGCTACAAATGTAAATAATTTAGACTATTTTGTTTTCTCCTTGAGGTTGTTCCATTTCCTTTTTGGAGTACCATAACTAATGTGAAACTAGCATAACTTCCAACGAATACAAGAACATGAGGTGCACTACTCCAGCAACGTGCCAAAGAACGTAGAAGAGTTAGCGGAAAGAAAGTGGCATTGATTGAATGCTTAACACTTTAAATATAAAAAAGATTGGGCAGGAATTTAGAGCTATGACCAGTCAAATCGAATCGCTTGTTGTTAAGTAGAAAACTGGTAGACAAACGTGATATACCAGACTAGAAATCAATCGTAAATTTGCCAGCAGTAAGAATAATACCCACCTGTGCCTAAAACCATCATATATATTTGCCCTCAAAAAGACTGTGCGTGGCACTTTGCTACCTTATTTTCAGTTTGTGACGCGTTAAATTTAAATCACCATCAAATCATTCCTTGGAACTCCGCTTACGTCACACTTGGTGCCATCATTTTCTCTTTGGTGAGGGAGTGCTGCTTTTCATTGGGTCATCGATGTACAGGCCAGTAAAACATGCAAAAATACGGGCCGACCTGACCATCGTGATCTATGGCGAAAGTGCACGGAATATAAGTCACTTGTCGGGTGACAGAAAGTAACTCAATACTAAATTGCTTCATGCACTGTCTGAATGCTTCGTTTGGTGGATGAATTCCCCCCCCCCCCAAAAAAAAGGACCTTTCACAAATGCCTCACACAGAATCTAATGTGAACCTCCCAAATTCGTTGCCCAAGAAGTACACAAAGAGAACTGATGCCGCTGATTTTTGCTTTGCTGTTCATACTTCGAGTTGCTATCGGAATAAGGTACCCGTGTGCGCCAAGCCATCTAGAGTGCAATCAGCAAACCGAAAAACACAGGAATTTTGATCTCCTACTCTCCCACTTCTAAACCACTGTAAAACCAGTCAAAGCATGCCAAGATGAGACGTACTTTCAGAGCAGTTTTCGGAAACTCAGTGAGTGGAAATCTGCTTTATTTGTTGGATAGAAATAATACATAGTCGATCTAATAAGGTGTAATTGGGCGGGCAGATAATGTGGCTTGTCACAACGTGATCAGTCTCACCAAATGGAGCTAAATGTCACCCAGATCTGTTATCGTGTCTTGGCTAGTGCCAAAGATATCAAAAACTTAGTTCCCATATGGTAAAGAATAAAATCATCGTGTAACTGACAAAGCTCCGATGAATAAACATATTGCGGACACGAACATGCATCGACTAGCAGGTAGTGTTTTTTAAACGCCGTACAATAGGTTTGAACGATTTCTCAGATCCAAAAGTACAAAGATTTGCGAGAAGGTATCCAGGACTTGTTTGTGCACTTAAGAATGTGTGACACAGGAGAACGCTCATCTAGTTTTGCATATTTACTCTAATTTCTCCTTCTTTTTGTCCAAAACCACTCTGCCTCCACCTAGGGTGGGAGGGTGGTAAAAGCTAACACATTGTGGGGTGGGGTTAATTAGATCTAAGTCATCAGGGTTAGGAATAACTACGGTAATTAAAAAAGTTACCTTTTTTGCTTGCTTAAAACGACAATTTAGAAGCTCACCCTCAAAATGCTCGTCTTTTGATTCATCCTCAATCTAGAAAAAAGGTTTTGAGGCCAATGCATTCACATGTGATCGAAAAAAGACGATCTGAAAGCAACCGCAGCAGATTTTTCAGTAGATGAGCGACAGTCATTTACATAGACGCTGAGAAGACCCTTTTCGTGGTAAAGTGTAAAATTGTATAGAGTAAGTTTCTCTTTGGGAACACTTTCCTATCATAACCAGAGGCATGCAGAAATTCATGGCACCAATAATTGTCTGGTGAAACCAGTAGGACACCTAATCAGCACTTGGGTGCCCAATCGATGCAGAACTCTCTGTGCCAGCAATTGAATTTTTTCTTCCAAAATTATGATGGAGTGATCCGTTGATCTCTATAACTCGAAATATTTTATCACTTGTGGCACGAAAAATACAAAAGGTCCTTTTCGAGTTTAGAGAGTTAGCGCAAAATTCACTACTCGACTACAGTTCAATCCCAGGCTCCGAAGTCTCCCTCAAGCTTTTCGTAATTGGGGGTATAAGAGAGTTGTGCGCTGTAAGACTTTGTGCTTTTGGGCAGAATGCAGAGATAATCACTGGTATCTGTTTCTCAGGTGGCTGTCAGGTGTATTTTCTGTGTGAGCTAGTGGCAAGAATGGTTAAAACGTACACAAGAGTTATAGGGTAAATAACGGTTCTGCACCCTGAATTTGAACCTGTAACTGAAGATACTGTTACCATTTCAAAGGGTATTGTCAACTAGAGAGATAGTGTCTATCATTACTTACTGAACATGAAGAATGTTGAGGCAACGAGAAATTGAATTGATTCTGGAAATGAAATGGATGCCTACGTTATCACAAAAGCTTGGCTTCCTGAAAATTTAGGACAGTTTTTTGGTTGTTGATCAGGTGGCTGCTGATCTGTTCGCCGAGCTTGGCAACTGGCTTGCAAACGCTTCGTCATTATAAGAGAAGACATCATCAGTGCGCAGTTGGGTGGATACTCCTTCCTTGCATGCGTGCGTTTATATAGCATTCGAAGGCTATCTGTTATCTTCTGATGTGATTGGCTACTTGAATTTCAACGTTAAACTTCAATAAGAAACCTTAACAGATTTATTTTGTGAATAAGAGATCCCACCATCCCACCATCTCGGCCAAATAACGGTAGGCTTTGTTTGAAACTCCCCAAATTTGAGTAGACTCCTCACCTGAATATTCTGTACGAACTGTTGATATTTGCTTTAAAGAAGCACAGTTGTATTTCTCGAAACTCCTAATTTGAGACAAGACAGCAAATTTTACGCGCATATGTGCATAGTACGTTCACATGTTGGCTCTCTCTAGTCGGCAATTCAAATGGAACCAACTCATTGCCTATATGACACTTTAACCGAATTTAAGGGTGAATTACCCTAATCCCACAAAAAAGAGCAGCACCCAATTACTACGGTTTGTCTCTTTCAAAGTTAGGTAGGTACGCACCATGGTGGCAAATTGAATGAACTTGAAATTGCTGGACCACTTCAGTTGCGTTCACCTTGCACTTCTGGTATGATCCAATCAAAACTGCGTAAAGCAGCGGATAGACCTGATTGGTCCCCTGACAAAATGCATGAGTGTGTCCACAACAGGTGTCCAATCTATCGTTGTTCGAACGAGTGGACCTATTTCTATTTGCCTGAGGTTCATATTTAATCAGTGGAAAAGTAGTTTATAAATTTTTATGCAATGTGTTCTGCCTCAAACGTTTAATACATGCCCTGATACATGGTCAACATGCAAATAAACCGAAAGCAGGGATGTCAGCTATCTACTATTAGATGGCTGGCAAAGATTACGCTCATTTTTGCATTTGTGAATTTCAGCTGGCTGGATCCAGCTGCCGCAACCGAAAGCTGTCGCCGAATATCCAGTGACTCTAACATAATCCGTCGTCCAGGAGACGGTGGCTACGAAATTCGTGTGCGACTTATCCCATTAGAATCAACAAGGCTTCGTGGTAGTGGAAACCGTGGAGCATTCTGGCCATTATCTCTGAACAGCAAACCTTCCAAACCAAAGTCCACCATTGATGGTGAAGATAATTCCACCATGGAATATTTGCCTGGAAGAGAATATGAAATTACTGTTGCGCCGAAGGCATCACCAACGGTCACCAATACCTTTTATATGGAAGCTGTTTATGTGACAGCGGTTCCGCTGGGAACTCCTGAAAGTCAAGAATATGATCAGGGAAAGGGGTTATTTTCGCCAACAATTTGCACTAGTCCTGGGATCGGTGGGATTGAATTCAAGTACAATTTTCCAAGACAAGTTACATTTATATGGACAGCACCAAAGGATGAATCAGGTAAGACAAGCTCTGGTGGTCATACCCAATGGGGTGCAAGTCACTGTGTCGAACTAAGAGCGATTGTTATCCCCTGGCACTGGCATCGGGTGTTTTTTCGCAATACTGGATCTTTACGCAAAGTGATGTGCCCCGCCAAAGATATTCGTCAAATTGATCATTGGCCAAATTTCGTGGAAGATTTAAGTGGTGCGTCGGGAAGGAACGGACGGGGTGATGGTGTGAAAGCGCGATCTGTCACGCTGACTAGCAAATCGGATTCTGCAGAAGCCCGAGACCGGTTCAGTGACAGTGGATTTTATGGATCTGAGGACGGTGGATCTTGTGCAGTTCAAGAGATTCAAAAGCCCGTCAGACGATGTTGCGCATGTAATACTGCGATTTATCGGATGATAATACAATCGGACTGGCAACAACAACAACACTGGAGAGACTGGCCAACTGCAGGAGTGAATCGGGATGGAATTACCGTCTCACCGCATTTTAGTGAAATACTAGGTGAGGTGTTTCTAATACATGAATCTCCTATAGATGTAGCTCGGAGAATCAGTAAACTAAATTAAGCATATTCGTAAAATCCTTCGTCTAACGTTTCACTCTAACCGCTAAACGCCCGTTGACTCCCCTCGCATTGTTTGGACTTCATCTTTTCTCAGATCAAGTGACTGGAAAACAGCAGGTAGAGATGAGTGTTGTTGGACAGAAGCAGTGCACACTGACTTTGCATGCTGACCTTAGAACTGGAATAAATCAACTGGGCTTATTTTGGCTGTTTTGCAATGAGTCATAGCTTACGCCCGCAACTGTCGTTGACCTGATTTAGCAAATAACAAATGGGGACAAAGTATCCTGCTTGGGTTCGAAGAACTATGTTGTTTTTTGGTGGTTTGTGACCAAATGTGCGGCAAAACGGCTGTTTCCATGCTCCGTTGAGCCAACCACCAGAAACCACCGTGAAAACCAGAGAAAACTGCACAAACTTCAGAGGCCTACATTCTCTGAAGCTGGATTTTAACTCTAAGCTTGTAAATTTCTCTGGAGGCTTTTGGTAGTCGTTACTGGAATAAGGGAGCTTTTTTGAAATCCTACGACCTCAGTATTATCCGGCTGAGCTCAGTTAAACAGTCGCTTGTCGGTATCGAAAAAAATACCTTTTAACTGAAATAAGTAGATGTTGTGTATCAGTTTCATTTATGCTCTACCCGAGTGAAATGACGCTCGTTTATTTCAGGAGCACTTAATATTTCCTCTTTATGTCACGCCTATGCGAGTGGGTAGCTCAAACATTATACTCCATAAAACGACCAAAATTTTGGTGCTGATGTGTGCAGCTCACACGCTTCGGTCACATGGCCTCGCTTTTTATTAGCATATTTGACTAGACTTTAGTGTTTTCAAGCTGCGGGCACTCGCCCTCTGCTTTTTTGACAAGGTCACTAACGGATTTTATTTTTGAATAACTCCAGGCTGTCATCAGAAGCGAGAGTAAATGGCACTTATCAATTTTGAACAGGATCCCTATAATCATTGGGGAAGCTGACATTTCCACATTTGACCAGATATCTGGTACAGTTGTTGTCTGTTTCATACTTCACAAAAAGCTGCCACTGCCCCTTGATATTTTATTCTTTGGGTGGATTGCATGCCCGTACGTAAGCCTGAATGGCACTCAGCATTACTCTATGTCGTGTAGCGCAGAATACCTCCCCTATGCAAGAATGTAACCTTAGTGAAAGACCTTTAAGGTAACAAAATGTGTAAAGGTCAAGGCCGATCCCATGTACATGACCCAAACATCCGTGCAATGGGACCGCGTTCTCTACAAGGTAGGATATGTATACCAAGTGTAAACCGGAAATACCTAGTTGTTTAGTTCGTGATTTCCTTGAAATGATTTCTTGGGAGTAGTATGCCGTGTAATTTCTGTTTATTCCTAACAATGCCAACCTCAACGAAATATATTATAATGTCATACATACGGAGTCCGATTTTCGAAAATGAGCAGCTAAGTAAGTGGATCATTGGCAAGACAGAAATGACTATGATATCTCTAAGCGTATTATCTATCTAAATATCTAAATATCCGTTGGACGTTTGGGAAGGAGCGATTTTTTGAGAGCTATCAAGCAAACAACAATCTCTGCCACTAGAAGGCAAGAGCCTCTAAAAGCCTGGTTATTCGCAGGCAAATGGGTAATTTCATCACGCGTTCTGTGTGATGTGACAAGAGATGTATTTCGTACCTGGCAAACTATAGAGCGAAGCAGCAAGTCAGCCAGATTGGGATGTTTTAATAACTTCATCAAAGCTTGAAAGAATTCACTTTTGTTTCCAGGTCTCATGTGAGTTTACTGCCTAAAACCTGTCTATATGTTTTTCTAAGTCTTTTGGTTTACACACAGAACAGCTGGGGGCATGTTGTACCAGATTTTTGCCATTTCAAATGTTGTGGACTGCACCTGGTGCACAAAGCGACCACCGATGCGTATAATCTTCTGCACGTCAAAATATTTGATGATAGACCGTGGAGCTTAACAATAAGTTCCATGTTTTAGGCAACGGGATATTCATAACTATTGGGTTATTCCTAAAAGAATGTGGTCATGGGGCGAAAAAAGCATGCTCTTACTGAATTTTTTCAAAGATCCCACTTATAGGTGGGGGAAGTGTCTCATCTCACCTTTCACGGTATGGGAATTGAAAGTGACAGCTTATAAAGTAACGGTGTTGATGCTGGGGTGATTTTCTGAAAACCACTCAACCGAGAACAATGTATCAATCGATGCAAAGGTCGATCACACGTACAACCAACACACCAGGCGGATTAAAGAGTCATGCGTACGCAACTGAGTTTAAATGAAAGCGTTAGAAGTCCGGCAACATAAATCACTTCGACCGTAACGGACCGAGAGTTTCAATGAAAGCGCGACAGTTTAAAATTGGTTGGGTGTGGTTTTTAGGCGATGATGGGGTGCTAAGTTTAGTTTTGTTGAAGATAAGGGAAAATTTCTCCCCATCATTGTACACGGAGAATCGCGTGATCCAAGTGAAATCTTACCGACGCTTTCTATTGCATTCTTATTCGAGTTAAGCATGCTTAAGTAAATTTATCTGTTCTGGATATTTCGTGGTTGCCTTTTGGATACTATCATCAGAGTCATTCAGGAATGTACATTGCGTACAATAGACATTTTGCCTAATCAGCGGTTAAGGTGTCACAAGCGTCTTGGGAAAATACCATGATCTGTTTGTATGTGGCGGAGACTCGGGTGTTTATCTCGTCGAAAATACGGCAGCTGGTAAACATAGGGGAATTAATGGTAGGATGGGCAATTACATAAGAAGAACATGCTTCATCTGTACATGGAAAAGTTGTCCTGCAATCACTAAGCATAACTATGGGGGATGTACATCATAATGAGGCGATTAATATGACTAGGTCACAAAACTAAACTAGCCGCCAAAGCATGGTTTCCTCTAGCTCTAGATTATTAATATTTTCACTGAACATTTGAATGGGCCTCCCTAAGTCCGGAGAGGTTGATTTCAGGTAGTGAGAAGAAGGATAGAATTACGCTTAGTAAATTCCCTTACGAGGAAGTTTCACCACGTTTGTGAAAATTTTAACTCCGTAAACTCAGTGCTTTAGCCAAAGTCACGCATGGATGTTTGGACAAAATACCGTCTACAGCGCTTCACACGCAATGACTCTGTTTGCCTATTTGCACTCAACCCAGATCTTCAAGTCTCTGCAGAAGATCTATCTCAGCAAATCCGTAGTTCCTGAGGTAACAATCATTACCCCTAGAAATAAGTCTATGTTGCTTTTGCTTTTCTCCTTCTGATATATCATACATATGTAAGACGTTTGGGGATCAACTTAGAAGAAGCATTTTATTTCATGGCATTCAGTAAACAGGTTAGGGTTTTTTACTTTTATTCCACCTAACAGTATTTTTTGCAACCTAATATGCCAGTTGTGTTTTGAAGACCTCGTATTTTCCCGCGAAAGATCGGACATTATTGAAAGCTGTGTTTGCCTCTGGTCTCCATCATATATGAAGTTCTTCAGCTATTTGCTCAAACTTTTGGAATGGAAGGTTTCTAACCTCTCAAATACTTAACTGGAAGCAACATATTTCACATAAACAATGGAAAATTAGTTGTGGGATTACAAAACGTCCTGTTTGATATCTTCAGTCTTAGAGGCGTTATGTTTACTGATTTGATGAATTCACTTTTCTTCCGCAAATGTTAAATCGGCAGCAAGGTCTTCGCAATATAAAGCAGTTACTGTTTTGCAAGCCATGCATATGTAGGAGCTTTTTGGATGGTATTGAACAATGCTCCCATCAAATATGATTTGGTGTTATCTGCTTTCAAATGTACTACCGTAACGGTAAGCACATCCCTTAAGTTACCAAGCTGTTTTAGGGTCTGCGTTGAACTATCAGATTTAGATGTAAGGGTCAATAAAAAAACTACTGGAAACAACAGGACAGTGCTGATTTTTTTTGCCGTAAAGACGTTATGCTTGACAGGCCCTTTGTCATGTAAAGCAGAAACCAGTTGATCTAATAAAAAGGAAGCCTAAAAACTTTATTAACAGGACAGAGTAGCTGAATATATTTGCCTTCGGTCAAAAATAACATTCCACAAAATTATTTTTCGGGATATGATGCAGCACTCAGTGTGATGGAGTGACGCACCTCAAGGGAGTTTGTTTACGTTGATATTTTATTGCCTGGGAGGTTAATAAAATGCGGCGTTGTCAAAGTATGATCTACGGTTTAAAAATATAAATAAGCAATCCAGGAAACAACGTGTGGGCTTCACCAGCTAGTGGTAGGGTATTCTCCAAAAACAAGTCCTTAGCGTTATGACGTTTTCCTAACAAATTCAAAATGCAATATATATTTGCTTTTAGGAGCTCACATTTCCACTCCATGTCATTCAACCGCACAACTTATCAGTAACAACCGTGTACCATAGGCACATTAGTTCCAGCTGCGACAGCTTCGATCAACGGGAAATGGAAGACTGCGGGATATACGGCCAAGCATTTGACGCGATGCCAGGATCAGTTAGTTTGGAAACTGGGCAGCCACCAAAGCAATAGCTTTGCTGCAAGAGCGCTACTGACTTCGCGAATAGGTGATTTCTGCCAGTGTCATTAACTATCGGTAATCTGAGTGCCAGGGGCGACAGCTGCCGACCGGTCTTTTCGTACTCCGTTGCCAGGTCATAAACTGTCCATCACTTGGTCGCTTCCACTCAGAACAAGGCTGGAGGAAAGGGGCTCTGTGAAACAAACGGTCTCCTGGTACGCGGAACACATACCTTAACCAGCGTAACCTATGATCATCTAACGTGCCTCACCATTGCTAACCCGATGTTACCATATCACGCGAATGGTGCTTCGGATACACTGGTGGTCAAGCACTGACAGCGTTGATGCATCCTCTACGCATGTTGACCATGTCTCTAATTCAAAAAGC